AAAAAATTTAGAAAATTAATATTTATCTGCCCCTGGCTGCCTGTCACACAGCCCTTGATGGCTTGCCAAACCTCAGTAAATAGCTCTCCGCCCAAAATAACTGCCCACCTCTGCTTTAGACCCATCCTCTTTGACTGCCAGATGCCACCAGAGATAGCATCTGCTTATGCCTGTCTCCAAGGACTCTTTTCCTTGGAGTTGTAGAAAAGAGTTTTCTATATTTCCACTACCCTCCCCATCCAACTTCCTACTGGGGACTAGCAATGATGTTGGCCTGTTAGCAGGCAAAGGAATTCCCCAAACACCATCTCTTACCCATTTTGGCTCAAAGGTGTAGGTTGTATGACCTATTATACAGTTACTGAAGAAACAGAAGTGCAATATTAATAGTACCTGACACACACCAGTCAAAGCCCAGCACAATATGAGCTGGTGAGTGAAGTGAGAGCCTTACACTCACCAGCAGTTTTATAAAAGGCTGCCTGGTTTTCATGCAACTCTCTTGGAACTCAGAAATAACTTTGAACTTCCAGGAGATTGAATGCTTAGGCTGAGCCTTCCTTGCCTTCTAGGATGGATAACCAGGCTTTGCAGAAATAAATAAGAGTTAGTTTTTTTCATATGAGATGACATCCAAGCGCGTGCATAGATGAAATGGAGGCCCTAAATAGAAGCGGTGGGTTTTAAAAAACACCACTTCAGTTTAGGGCTGATTAACACCCCCTCCCCCGTGTTGTGTACACCCCCCGCTGACTTACCTGCCTCTCTGGTGGGGAGGGGACAGTGAACTGTCGGCAGACAGAGCAGTTTCTGGGCTGGGGGGCAGGAGATCAGGCTTCCTGCAGAGCCATGGAGCTGCCTGGAGCCCAGTGCTTTGCTCCATGGCTGTAGGAGCAGCTGTGCCGCAAGTCATTTAAGGCACATTATGCCACCGAATTTCCTACAGTGGCTGGAATTAATACACAATACACCACCAATGCGTGCAAACACCAACACCATTAAAGCGGTGCAAAAGCATTTAGCCCTCTTTAAAGTGTCATGCACACACACCTCATTTTGTCTACACATGGCCCAAGGCACCAGGACTGAAGAAAGTGCTTTAAAATTGCTTTCTCTGCTCATCCCAAACTTCTGCCAAGTATGCAACTTAATCAGCTTGTTCCTGTATTCATAGTCAGTATCTTCGCACTAGATCAGCTACAGGTAAAATATAATGTGCCTGGTTAGTTTCTTGTGTCTCGGAAGTTGCAGTCACTACCTCTTCCCTAGCAGCAGGTTCACTGTCTAATTAGCTACTTCAGTTTTCCAAACACATTTCATGGCTGCTTCTCTTTACTGATGTGTAAGAAGTGGACTCTTCTCATTCTCCTTGGAGAACTGCTGGCACATGCAGACAAGTGAGCAAAGGACATGATGCTTCCTTGCTAGCTCTTCAGAGGTGCATTCTTTCAAAAGAACTGGAACAAGTCAAGGTCCTTTACCAGGTATCACTTAGATCCTACAGCGACAGGCCCCTTAGAAATTCCATGGATTGGTCATCTTGAGATATTTTATATCCCAACGTCCTTCCGTTACAGTGAAGTTCCAAAATGGAAATGATGTGAAAAGTCCACAGGGTCAAACAACTGTCCAGGGGTGCACAAGAAAATACACAGTGTGGAGTTGGGGACAGGAAACAAGGAGTTCCCCAGGACCAGTGCAGTCCCCCTTTGTACAGTGCTTCACAACAGCAAGTCCCCGCTCCTCAATCTGCTCTGTGGCCCAAGAGCAGGGAATGCAACAGAGGGGAAGACTGCCCTTTCCTGCACTGTTTTTTTTCCCAAGTTGTGACTTCGCCCCCAGTAACTAGGTCTGGTGAGGGCAGATGGCCAGGTTGGCCCTTAGCCAATCAGGCAGCCCCCAGATACTTGCAAGCATCATCCTCTGTAATTACCTGGCCCTGGGTATTTCCCCTCTGCTCTTACTGTTACCTCAGCCTAGCAAATGCTTAAAGGCAGATGGGCCTTGGTGTTTAAAATACAGTTTGACAATTTTTTTTTTGATTTTCTCTACAGCTCTCAGAGGGTGCCTGTGGACACCTTAGAGAAATGAAGGCTCATCCTTGTGAATTGCTCTGATGAGCTCAGAGTAAGCTCTCCCGTGACATTTCCTATTACCCTTCCTCCTGCTGGAAATGTCCCAAGTCCATGGAGCAGACAAAGAACTTCCCACCTCTCTGACACCCGTCACTGCTCCCCCCAAAGAGCTCCGACTGCCCACACCAGGCAGATTCCCTCTTGTTTTCCTGCCACAACCAAATGCAACTCCACTTTTTGGCTACCTCTCTTCAGATACGTACTTCCAGTGGGATCCCAGCCCTGTTATTTCCTTGACCAATACTGAAGTTGGAAGCTTGCAACGAAGAGATGACTAATGCCACAAGTGGCACCACAGGCATCAGCCAGGCAGAGGCTGGACTGGACTGGAACTCATCAGACACAAAAAATCCAATCCATCTCCCCACCACCCCCACTGACCTCTCACACTAGCACTCCCAAGAGATGCAGAGGGACAGCCAGTTCCCTCCAGGATCCACATGGGAACTAAGCTGTTCTGCTGGACTGATTATTTTTGCAATAACCCCTTAGCTGAGAAGTTTAAAAAACTAATTTGCTGTCCCTTTGTGATAGGAGTTTTTTCCACTTAAACACAGTTCCACAGTAAACACAGTTCTTTTTTTCCTGTTTTATATTTTCTGCAGCTGAACCACAACTAAAATGGTGCATCTGCTTTGTCCTGAAGGGTCTTGTGGAAAGGGGCATTTTTGGCCCTTATATAAATCTATTAACTGTATTAAATGATTTTTAATTATTGCCTAATCTGCTTGTAGCAGCAACAATCCCACTGGAAATACTTGTTGAAAGAGTCTTGGCTATCAATATAAGAGGCTATTAAACTAGCGTGAAAGCAGGCTGGGAAAAGAATCCAAACCAGTTTTAGGAAAATGAAGAAGAGCTCCATGAAAAAAATGTTCACCAATAATTTAACCCTCTCCCATATTGCTCAAGCCTCTTGCCTTTTCTGCTGCCCTGTAGCTCCTCCCATCCCTGCCCTGCTCTGCTTTGTAGTTGTCCATAATGAGCTTGCTTCCAGGATCCCGTGGCCTCGTCCACCACCTTTTCTTTGGGATCAGAAAGGATTTTTCCAACTGGGCCAAACTGGCTACTCTCCTTTGGTTTTTTGCCTTCCCCATAGCAATGCAGAGGCACAACTGTGGTTAGGCAGGCTAAGATTTAGAAACTCAATATTAAAAGAAAATACAGGAATGTGTAGGGATGAATCAGTTTGGAGAATCTGGAATATTGCTTCCCAGAAATGCTTGGTGGCGGGATCAGGGTGAGATTACACGTCAGAATTAGCAGGTGCTGGTTCTAAGAATGTTAGTATGTGTTAAGCTTACCAAGTGCAAGTGACCAGTCACATGTTTGGTGCCAATACCCTCTCCAATGTGCACTGCTCACACCTGCTGTTAGAGGGCTGTTGAGCAGGGGCATGGCAGGGACTGCAAGTCTATCCTGCCCGTCAGCTCTCTAGCAAGAGTATAGGCTGGGGAAGAGGTGGGGAAGAACCCTTCTGTGGTGTTTCAGTTGTGCTCTCTGCTCCCAATCAACCCCTGGATCCCCCTACATTTCCCCAACCCGCTCCTCCACCCCTGAATCACCCTCCCACACCCAATCGCTGCCCTGCCCAGCCTGAGAACAATGAAGACAGTGGCAGTGGGTTCCCCTTCTCTGCCTGTTCCTGAGCTCCTTGCAGCCTGCAATACCCCTGCGCACCCAGATCCAGCCCCCACTGGGCCCAGCAGCCACCTGGCAGGTCCTTGTCCCCCTTCATCTAGCCGCCCCAGTGGGGGCTGGATCTGGACATGCAGGAGCAGCATGGTCTGCAGGGACCCCAGGAGCAGGCAGGGAGGGGGAATCCCCCCCCACCAGCTCTCGAGCTGCTCAGGGAAGCATGGCAGTGATCTGGGGGTAGAGGGGCTGCTGGAAGGCAAAGAGTGCAACTGGGTTGGCAGGGGAACAACCTAGGGGGCAGGTGGACAATTTGGGGGGGCAGAGGGAGCAGCAGCCCAGCAGCTTCCCACACATCTGCTCCTCTCCTCTCCTCCACCTGCCCCCTCTTCCACCCTCCACTCCTGTCCCCCCTCACCCCTTCCCCATGCTCCCCTAAGCCCCTTCATACCTTTTCCCTCCCTTCCATTACTAAATATCCCATCGTCTCAGCTTCAGACCATTCTTCTCTGTTCCTACTGATCCCTCCCCATACAGTCCCTGGTTCTTTGTACCCTCTTGCTCTGCTATCGTATTTTATCTGTCCCCTGACCCTCCCCATCCCTATTGTCTTCTCTCAGACCTCTTGGCTCCTGCACTGTGCTCCTATGCAATTCCTTTGGCTTCTATAACCCATTCTCTGACGTATATCCGTCCCCCTACTCATGTATGGCTCCACCACCTCCCAAACCCTGGTTCTGCACTGCCTATGGTTTATGCAATTCATTCTTTAAAAAAACACTTATATCCCTTGTGCTGGTATATGATGCACTCTGAGCACATCAAATGGTTTTTTCATTATATTCTTAACATATATATACACCAGTCACCTATTAGATTAACAATTATACTCAATAACATTACAGTCTAAATTTTCTCTAAGTATAGCTAGGAAAAAAAAATCAATGAGTCAAATTCTTGCCTGGTGTACCTCCATGGAAGTCAGTGAAGAGATACTGGAGATGAATTTGGTCCTACAAGTCTTACAAGAGAAACAGCTGAGTATTCATAAGTCATATACTAAACATACAAAGGAGTTTAGTGCAGATGCAGAGTTCACCAGCACAAGCATATGAAATTGAAACACACAAAACAGGAAGAAGCCAAAAGCAATAAAACCTTATTATAATGTAGATAGGTTTGACAAAGGCCAGACAGATTTATTTAAAAAAACCAAACAAACAGCCTTACCAGTAATAGTTATGTGACCATCTTTGGGGGCACTTTGGATTTCCTTTAACTCAATCTCTGAGCTCACGTCCACCTTACTTCCAGATAGCTGTAAATAAGCTTTAAAAGAGGCAGGGACCTTGATTGTAATAGAGCCTGTTATAAATTAAGTGAAAGACATTTATGTTACTACTGTCCAAATCAAAGCAAGCAAAACACACACTAGTTACTCAGCTAACAAAGAAGCCCCACTATTTGACTCTGTTCAGTTGACTTGGGGGAAATGGTATATTTTTGTCTTAAGCTCTCCAGCCATTCTGGTTTCTTTCCCAGCCCAGAGGATAAATAGCACTCTTGTGGACAGAGATGCCCTCATTTATCACAACAGAAGACTATTAGCAACAGTCAGTACCAATAGGTATCTTCCCTTTATAGCATAGGGCTAGCTCTCCCTTTTCCCTGAGATATGGCAGCCTCACAACTGACTGTCTATTCTAGAGTTGCTGTCACTGCACTTTATAGATGGGTTGTTAGCAAAATCAAAGTGGCTTCAGTGACCTGCCCCATCTCTGAGATTGTAAGTTGAAATTCTGGCCTATGCTTTCATTAAACATGGGCTTCTTTATGTCTCAGGCCAACAACTGGAGCATCTAGTTGCCAGGCTGGGGCACATCTGGAATGGTTTATTCGATGATGCTCAGTCTCTGTGCTTGTACATTACAACAAACACCTGCAAAGCCTGAATTCACTCTCTGGATAAAGCTTTCTTATGTTTAGCCTCGTTCCAGCTTGGCAAAAACTTTCTTCTCTGTAGGTATGTTAAGAAGGCTCCTCCCACAACTAAATTAGCACATGGAAATTAAATGATACCATCCGTGAAAGAAAATGCACACTACACAGATATGCAGGACCTGACCTTTCCTCCTCGGGAGGCAGTGCAAAACAGCCAGAAAGCTGAGGATTCCTCTGGTGTATGGCATGCCTAGTGTGGCAAAAAGCCAACAGATAGTTCCATGTCACCTATTCTTGGCCCTCCTTAGGGAACTGTAACTACCAGTATAATTTAGGCTGCCGTAATATAACCTGGGTGCAGACCAACTCCAGAAATAGAAGAATGGAGAGGTGGCTGTGAGCCACTTTTTTTCGAACGTCAGGTCCTGCCTAAAGACCAGCGTGACCAAACACAGTGATCCACTTGCTTATTTTGACATACCAAGCCAGAGATGACTGCACGGCTCTCAGTAGTTATCCTGGGTTTAAACTAGTGTAAAAGAGTACAGTTTGGCTTGCTCCATCTTTGTCTTCAGTAAGAAGTGTGGCTGGAACAGATGCCAAGCTCTGCTTTAAAAATCACTTTCATACATTCTCTTTCACTGTTCTTTATGAAACAGTTTCTCTCCCTCACTGGTTAAACATCAATCTGAGTACTGTAATTCCACAACTGGCTTGATGGTATTGTGAAAATATATTTCTTTCCACCACAAGAGTTGGAGTGGCTTGTACATTAGAGCACACATGGGAATAAATTCAATACATTTCTTTCATCACATTCACTCTTGCTGAATACTACAATCTTCATTTCAGAGCTACCCATGGAAGGTTAGACAATAGAACAGTGACCACCTATAAACACCTAGAGAGTGCAAAGGAATGTCAGAAGTAAGACTGAAGAGGAAATGTTTTATAATGGCTTCTGCAAATTTATTACTCTCTTAACAACACAAAATTCTTACAGGGCTTGAGTGTCTTTATAAAATAAGACCTTCAGTCCTGTGCTTTTTTGAATGCCAAAGGAGATAAATTCAGCTATTCAAGAATTATGTTCCAGCAAGTACTGTTGTACCGAGCATGTAATTAGAAGGAGGGAAAGAATGGAAAATTGGCTTATTCACAAATATATCAGAGATTGGACACGTCTCATCTTTCTGGGTCTACCTTCCTTTCTTTTGCTGCTTTACTAATTTTAATGTAAGGGTCTCCATACACAATAATTCTTTCCTTGGACAGGGAGAAACAACAAACTTGTGACCCTTGTCAGGTCTGCATGTGCGCCAATGCTATGGACTGAGCCGGAATGACAAAGCAAGAGAGGACTGCAATCCTCATCAGCTCTACAAAATATTTTATGGGGCAGATTGTGGGACAAATCTTATTGGGAGAGGGGCTAGATTATGCCTTGGGTCCCCTTGGTTTGGCTGAGTAAGGGAGACCACTATTTTTGCTTCAGACTGAGGGAAGCACCCCAAATTCTTGTAGTGGGTCAAGCACTGTCAAGGGCTAATAGGTCTGTGTTTCCCAGAGGGCACAGGTCCAGGATCAGTTCAGACTCTGGGTGGTGGCAGCATTACCCTCAGGCTAGCGGGTGTGCTCCAGGAAGGGGGTCAGCCGGATGTGCCCCAGGGAGGCACTTGGAGCCTGGAAGGTGGCTGGGTGCAGGGGGTGGGTGGCTCAGCATAGAAGCACTCCCTACTAGCCCACCACAACATACCCCAGAATAAGATGCACATCTTGGTTTGGAAAGGCAGAAGGAAGATGTTTCCTTGCAGTAAGTAAGTGAATAGCAGCAGCTAAGAAGCCAAGCCGGCGCATTGTATTGCTTCCTGTGGATCCCATGCAGACTTTTACTTTGGTTTGGTAAGAATCGGAAACTGATCTTACCGTATTTCCTCACACATAATGCAATATCCAATTTCCAAGAGCTGGTTTTTGGGAAAAGGTGTGTTGTACATGAGAAAATATATCACACACATGCATGCACCCTGTGTACACACACACACACACACACACACACACACACACACACACACACACACACACACACACACACACACACACACACACAC